TTATTTAAGTTCAATAATTATATATGGTATACATTTTATACAATTGTATGCGTATAACTTGTAAATACATAATACGTGTATGTGTAGTAGGATGCACGCATCATAAGTGCGTTTATATGTGTCGTTAAGCAGTATACTTATACTCTTAAATTTATGCATTTATATAAATGCATACATACACACAATATATGTGTACACGCTAAACTATCAAAGATATATATAAAAGCCACTCACGCACTTCCTATTACGGTTAGAACCTCGTATAAATGAGTAGGTGGGAAACATATACATACATACGAATTACAAATGCTCGCGACTGACTCAGAATTTATTTTATTCTTTTGCACATTGAACGTTGTGAATGTGGCGACATTGTCTATATTCAACAATTATTATTTAAAAATATATTTTCAGTTTTCATGAAAATATATACGGTCATTTTTAATTTTTTTATACGTATACAACTGAGAATAAAATTAAGTGGTTCCAAAAAAATCGTTTTGTTGAAAATTTTTGGTTGTAAGAATAATATTTTGCTTGCACACCGAAAAAAAAAATATTCTTGTATTCAGAGGATAATTCCTCTTACAGAATCCTCTTGAATTTTATTCTTAAAACAAGAGTATTACTCTTTAAATGAGAATATTTTCCTCTAATTTCAAGAGGATCGAAACAAAAGGACTATTCTAGAGCATTCCTCTTATATTTAGAATAATCTTTTTAGAATTAAAATAATACTCTTAGAATTTAGAATAATCTTCTATGTTTAAGAATATTTCTTAAATAATTAAATTAAATTAAATAATTTTGAGGTTATGCTATTTACAAAATTAATTTTATTACGATTTTTATTTATTTTAAATTTATTTGAAAATTTATTTAAAATAAATTTTCAAATTTAATGTATTATATGTTTTGCGCATAAAAATATTATTAAAAATAGATTTAGTTGATTTATTCAAAAAAATTAAAATCAATTTCAATTTATTTATACTCAAATAGATGTAAATCATGGAATAACAAATGTTATTCCTTTTAATTTTATACACGGAGAAAAATGGAAAAACGAATAAAGTAACTTTTACTACTTTAAAAGTAAAATTGGACCTGTCCGAAGTTTCTGCGCATCTCTGGCAACTTTTACTCGAAAAATAGTAAAATTGACTATTTCTGTAGTAAATTTTACTGTTTCCGTAGTAATTTTTACTATTTCTGAAGTAAATTTTACTATTTTTGGAGTAAAAGTTGCCAGAGATGCGCAGAAACTTCGGACAGGTCCAATTTTACTTTTAAAGTAGTAAAAGTTACTTTTTCTTTTTTTCCGTGTAGATTATATCTATGACATACAAATTAGATGATTGCATTTTTATTATTTCAGAATTCTTTTTAAGATGTTATTTTCATCTTAAAATAAGAGTATCCTCTTAAATTAAGAGGAATAATTTTACATAGAGGACAATCCTCTGAAACCTAGAGGACATCCTTTCGCAGCATATACTAGAGGAAAATATGCATTGAAATAAATGGAATTTTGGTTTTTTTTCTGTGTGGTATTATAAAATGATTTGGTTAGCGCAACAAAACAGATTCTTTTTGTAAACAGTATTATTTTGTTGACCTTATTTTATTGTGACAAACATATAATTTGGTTGTACCAATCAAAATATATGCTCACGGCATGCGCATCTAATTGAAAGGGAAGATGAACCATAACCTCCAAACAAGTATTTATTTGAATTAAATAAAATATTTCATTGAAATAAAGATAATTTTGTTATTGGTGTGCATGAAAAAAAAATAGTTCTTATTTTTAACTGAAAATAAAAAATGTTTCAATGTCCCTGTTTAAAATTTCACGCTGAATGAAGCACGCTCAACGTGTGAAAATGAATGAATTTCGTTTCACTAAATGTTGCATTGTTAATATAAAGGGAGATAAGAATTCATAACAATGGTGACCTAAAATTTTTTTTTTTTACAACACAATAGGGATCGACGAGGTTTTGGGGCACTGTTATGTAATAAACGTACGACGGGACGTGAAACACAATGTAATAAACCATTAATTAAAGACCATTACACTGGAAAAAAAAGTAACATGAAATAATAAGACAAATTTAGTCACCAGAAAATTATATGACTACGTTAACGAAATAATTGCAAATAGATTATAAATCAAACTCAATATTTTTGTTCTGGAATTTTTATTTTTCTAATATTTTGGTATATTTTTATTTGCGTTCATTTTAATTTTTCTTATTGTTCGCAGCACTTATTGTATTTATTATTACGTACAGAGCATTAATTTACATTTTTATATTTTATCTTAAATATTTAAATCTTTTATTTTCTTTCTTTTTGTTATTTCCGGGAAAAACTTTTCTAAAGAAAATTATAACAGATGATAATCTCGACATATACCTATTATATTTTATTTTAAAGTCTACTTTATTGCAATTAAAATATATTAATTTAAATATATGTTAAGTATTGTAATTTAGAAATATAATTGAATATTATATAGTGAAATTAAATCTGTTGGGATAATTTCTCATATATACTTGCATTCTCTTATTTTTAGAGACATAATCCTTTTTTCTGCGCTATATATATAAAAGACAAAGATGTAATTAATGTTGAGTAATGACCACAGTCATTAGTAAGTTCAATCTCATAGATTCATTTTTACAATATATCAAGCAATTATTATACAAGTATAAACAATTGAAATTTTTGCTCAACATATATTTCTTTAATGTCTTTTATATGCTCTATAATCATAGGTTCTATATAATATACATCAGTTTCGAAATCCTATAGAAATTATATTATTCACTGATATCTGACATATATTATATTGACATGTGAATTTTTCAAAGAGAACAAAAAGTTACGTCGCAAGTAAATGGTCAATTTTTTTCTAATATGAAAATTGATTTTGCAATTTTATTCCATGACTTTTGAGAAATAACTTTCTCTTAATTTTTTTTTTTTTGCAGTAGTTAGTAAACTAATTATTTCATAATTAAAATTCATATATATGTATATATATTTGAATCATAGAAATTTATGCTTATTTTCTTATATGAACATTTTCTTGATAGCCACATCTAAACAATTATACATATATGCGTTCAATAATACAGGATTTTTTTTTTCAATTAATATTATTATAAACTTTGATGCACGGTGGGAAAATAATTATAATATATGCGCGTATACAGAAATCCATATAAATCTGGAACCGTAATTGAACGTTCAATGGTTGAGTGATTATTCCTTGACATTCACCTTCACCTGGAAAGTGTACACAGTTATAATATCTACCCTTTCCGCGCACGTAATTGTCGGCTACACATTCAATTTTACACTTTTTATTATTGTTATACATAAAGAATAAAATGAAATAGGCTAACTAAATTTTTATCGTTATACATATATCGAATACGCGTATAGCTTTTCTTTGTTATATTTCAATTTGTGAATTTCACTTCATTATTTCCTTACATATAAATATAAATTACGGCAGAATGTATCGAAAATACTGCAGACTATTGAAAAATTGTATAATGATATAATAGAAAGAAAGAGATACTTTTACGTTATTTTTTTTTTTAGGAATAAGAATAATAATCATTAAAATTACACGCGAATGATTGACAAATATAATGGATCAATGATTCGTATATTAAATAGCGATTACTTGTCATTAAAGTTACCCTATGGGAGAGAAATTAATTTTATTACACTTGAAAGTTGTGAAATCATTTATATTTATTACCTAATCACAATAAGTCAGTTTTATTGCTCTTATTTGTTAAATACTTGAATTTTCATATGCTGTACACTTGAAGAGAACATTTATTTGATTTAAATAATAATCAGTTACTTAACTATTATTAAATAAATATTTATTAATACAATCAGTTTATTAATTTAAGTCAATTAAATAGTATTTAAGAATTAAGAATTATTTATCACTCGGTCGTATTTTTTATTGTGCTGAAATATGTATAATTTTTAAAAATAACAAAATTTTTGTCCCTTTTTACTTTACCTATACACTCAGAAAAAAATTCGTTTGAAGCAACCAAATTTTGGTTAAATCAACAAAATAAATGCATTGATATACGCAGTTAACCAAACATTTGGTTGCATAAACCAAACGTTTATCTAGTTCAATCAAATTTTTTCTTTGTTCAAAAAATTTATTAAAATCAACCAAACAGTTATTTAGATCAAATAAATATTTATTTGAATTAAACAAATTTTGTTTGAACTAATCAAAAAATTGGGTAAATATAAAAAAATGGTACATTTGATTCAAACAAAGTCGCAGAGTTATCTCAACCAAACATTTGGTTAGGCCAACAAAATTATTTGGTTGAACATTTTTAAATTCCAACCAAAATTTGGTTTCGACAACAAAATAATGTGGTTAATACAACAAAATAGTTTGGTTTGAAAAACCAAATGATCGTTTGTTATCCTAACCAAAATTTGGTTGCGACAACCAAATAATTTGATTCGCTCTCAGCTTATAGCTTAAGAGGACAGTTAGTTTAAATCTCTCACAAGAATGGGTAGTCCAGTGTTCAGAGCTCCCGACCTTCAGTTTTAAAACAGAGGTTCGATCCCACCCAGGTGCGAATTGTCGGTCGGCCCATGGTCGGGCCGACCATGTGCATGGTCGGCCCACCTCGGGCAGCCAGAGGTCGGGCCAACTAGCGAATTGATAACGTCGGCCGACCTATGGTCGACTAAGTTGGACCGACTATGGGTACCATAGTCGGGCCGACCAAGGCTGCCCTAGTTGGGCCGACCATCCTTGCCGACGGTCGGCAGCCATAGTCGGGCCGACCATGGCAGCCATAGTTGGGCCAACCTTGGCTGCCGACCATCCAACTTGACGGTCGGCAGCCATAGTCGGCCCGACTATGGCTGCCATGGTTGGGCCAACCTTGGCAGCTAAAATTTTGCCGACCATAAACATTAAAATATAAAAATTTGTTATACAAATAACATATATTAGTAATCATTTTAAATTCATTATACATTTATTTTATATACTTAAACACTAAACGCAATCGTAAACATACATATATACAAATTAAAATTTTTAACGCTCGCAGGGATCGAACTCGCAACCTAACGCACCGCAGTCTAATACGCTAACCACTACACTACGCAATGACATATGAGTCACGGAGAAAAATAAATGTTATAAGCTACAGCTTGAAAAAAATTAAAATTAGTAATTCAAAATAATAAATTAATCACATATAACCTTTTTTCTTTTTAAATTAATCAATTACAAGTAAATTAACAAAAACATTTTACATTTGTCAATGGTAGGAGAGAAATTTACTTTATGATGGTCGGCCCAACTATGGCAGCCAAGGTTGGACCGACCTTGGCTGCCAAGGTCGTACCGACCATTGTCCCCCATGGTCGGCCCAACTATGGCAGCCAAGGTTGGCCCAACTATGGCTGCCAAGGTTGTGCCAACCATTTTCCCCTTAGTCGGCCCAACTGTGGCTGCCATAGTTGGACCGACTATGGGGAAGAATGGTCGGCCCAACTATGGCAGCCACAGTTGGGCCAACCATGGCTGCCAAGGTTGTGCCGACCATTACCCCCCCTGGTCGGCCCAACTATGGCAGCCAAGGTTGGCCCAACTATGGCTGCCAAGGTTGTGCCGACCATAATCCCCCATAGTCGGCCCAACTATGGCTGCAATGGTCGGCCCAACTGTGACTGCCGACGTCGGCAGCCATAGTCGGCCCAACTTTGGGTGCAAATATTTACCATGGTCGGCCCAACTCTGGCTGCCGACCGGTCGGCAGCCAGAGTTGGGCCGACCATGGGCCGACGAACCAACTCTGGCGGCCGACCGAAATTCGCACCTGGGATCGTGTTTCTTTTGAGAAAAATAATTCTGTAATCCTTGATATACCGACCATCGATATACTCGGCTGCCAGTCATGCTGACTACATTCCCCGTAGTCGGCCCAACTGCGGTTTTCAAAGTCATGCCGACCATTCTCCCCCTAGTCGGCCCAACTGTGGCTGCCATAGTTTGGCCGACTATGGGGAAGAATGGCCGGCCCAACTATGGCAGCCAAGGTTGGACCGACCTTGGCTGCCAAGGTCGTACCGACCATTGTCCCCCATGGTCGGCCCAACTATGGCAGCCAAGGTTGGCCCAACTATGGCTGCCAAGGTTGTGCCAACCATTTTCCCCTTAGTCGGCCCAACTGTGGCTGCCAAGGTTGTGCCGACCATTACCCCCATGGTCGGCCCAACTATGGCAGCCATGGTTGGCCCAACTGTGGCTGCCATAGTTGGACCGACCATTACCCCCCCTGGTCGGCCCAACTATGGCAGCCAAGGTTGGCCCAACTATGGCTGCCAAGGTTGTGCCGACCATAATCCCCCATAGTCGGCCCAACTATGGCTGCAATGGTCGGCCCAACTGTGACTGCCGACGTCGGCAGCCATAGTCGGCCCAACTTTGGGTGCAAATATTTACCATGGTCGGCCCAACTCTGGCTGCCGACCGGTCGGCAGCCAGAGTTGGGCCGACCATGGGCCGACGAACCAACTCTGGCGGCCGACCGAAATTCGCACCTGGGCAGGCGGAGATGAGATTTTTCAAAGTCCACAAATATTTCAATTGGATACCTAACAAAAAAAATTCGGTTGGGCTAACCAAACATTTTTGTTATGCCAACAAAAAACACTGAACCAAATTTTTTGGTTGACTCAAACAAATAGTTTGGTTGCTTACATACCAACAAAATATTTTGGTGTCTCTGACTAAACATTTTTCTCAGTGTATGGATAGCAATTATTGTTAGCTAATACAGCTAATAATTAGCTTCCAAAGCTAATATGTTTTGCTGTGGCAGCTAAATATTAGCTACCAGAGCTAAAAATTCGCTATTCAAAAAATAGCAAACTCATTTTTCTCCGTGTATTCAATAAATTTTAGGCTATTCCATAAAAAAGAACGAATATAGAAATAATTTATTTGAATAAAAATGCTTAACTGACGTTTGGTATCAGATCTATCAAAATTTTTAAAAATTTACTGTTACAGCAAACCCTTTCAAATTTGTTCGCTGTCCCTATATTAGTTAACATAATTTGATGTAACAGCAAATTTTTTCTATGCGTGAATATACACGGAGAAAAAGGAATGGTTGGGCCAACCATAGGTATTGATAAATACGTCCCATCAATATTATATGGTTACCACAACCATATCTTTAGTTGATACAACCATAGTATGGTTGGCCTAACCAAAGGTTAGGTTGTCACATCAAAATGACGAAAAATTGCAAATTTGATGTGTCAACCTGACCTTTGGTTGCGCCAACCATACTATGGTTGTATCAACTAAAGATATGGTTGTGGTAACCATATAATATTGATGGGACGTATTTATCAATACCTATGGTTGGCCCAACCATTCCTTTTCTTTCCGTGTAATAAATAATGTTTCTGTGAATGTTCTGTTCTTACAAATTAATCGAAATCACTCAAAATCTGTTACTCGGGGATTTTTGGGGTCAATGATCACGAATCTGAGGTCAGAATTTTAGAATTCAAAATGGCGGATCCAATATGGCGGACGAATTTTTGGAAAAATCACTCGAATTCACTCAGAATCTGTTACACTGCAAAAATAAGTGACTTATTTGGTATCTTACAATAAGATGTAATATGGAAAAATAGTATCTTCCACCTTAAAAAAAGATATTTTGTAAAGTATCTTATTAATATTTAATATGCTTTTTGCATTTTAACAAAAATGAAAATATTTCTTCCATCTTAAATTGTAAGTTACTTCGGTAAGTTTCTTATATTCTTATATTATTATTTCTTATATTAAGATACTTCTTTTTGCAGTGTACTTAGAGATTTTTAGAGTCGTTGATTACGAATCTGAAGTCAGAATTCCAGAATTCGGAAAAAAATCAGATTCTTGAAAATTTGTCCCACACAATTGCGTTTTCTATAAAGGGTATAGGGGGTTAAGGATACAAAAATTGCCGTTGCAGGTATTCTGTTCAAATTGACACCATATATTGCTACCCCTATGAATATAAAATTCTGCAAGTATGAACCCATAATTCGAATTTTTGGGGGAGTTATGGTGGGGGAAAGGAAAATAAAGAAATCCATTTTTCTCGAAAACTACTGAACCGATTTTAATGAGCTTTGAATATGTTATACATGTCGCTAAGACAATTCTAAAAAAAAAATTTCAAAATTTTTTTTTGAAAAAAAGTCAAAAAAAATTAATTTTGAAATTTTCAAAAATTTTTTTTGGGGTGATTTTTTGAAGTGACCACTTTAATTTTTTTTTTTAAAAGTTACCTTATAATATCCCCTTTAACATATATTTTTTTCAGATTTTTAAAAAATGTAGTTTTTGAATAATTTAACGAAAACCATCGTCGCGCTACATGACGCAGCGCGCACAGTGTGCTGATGCAGTATACAGGGTATTCCAAAAGTATGGAAACTTTCAAATATCTCGAAAAGTACGAATTTTTGTAAAAAATGTTCAAGACAAAAGTTGTTCCAAACAAAAAGATGTACATCTTTGAAACCAAAAAATTGGGCCCGGAGCCCAATGTTGGGCCCTACAATGAAAAAAGTGGTTTTCTTAAATGAGACCACTAATTTTCAGTATCAAATTCGTAATCCCCATGAAATTCTGCGTTCAAACATGTGGTATAAGTGCCCAAAATATTGGGCCCAATCCAAGATATTGGGTCCAAAATTTATCAACAGATAAATAAATTTTATAGAAAATCGCATCTTGGAGGGATTTTGAGATCACAGGATTAGAAATTGAGCATAGAGCCCGATGTAAGATTCTGTAGTCCAATGTGAGGGCCCAATATTTTTGGAATTTGTACCACAAGTCTAAGCCCAGAATTTCATAACGATTACGAAATAGAAGAAAACTAATTTTTTTACTGCCTCACATTGGGCTGCGAAATCTTACATTGGGCTCTGTGCCCAATTTGAAAAGTAGCTTTGAATTTTTAATTCTGTGACCCCAAAAACTACAAAAGATGCGATTTTATAAATTTATTTATTTAACGAAAAATGTTGGGCCTAATCCCAGACATTGGGCCCAATATTTTTTGGCTTTTGTACTACAAGTTTAAACCCAGAATTTCATAACGATTCTGAAATGGATACTGAAAATTAGTGGGTTTTATTTAAACAACTAATTTTTTTAATGTGGGCCTCACATTGGGCCGCGGTATCTTACATTGGGCTTTGTGTACAATTTGAAAATTAGCTTCGAATTTCTAATCCTATGACCCCAAAAACTCCTAAAGATGCGATTTTTTAAATTTATTTATTTAACGAAAAATGTTGGGCCTAATCCCCGACATTGGGCCCAATATTTTTGTCATTTTTACTACAAGTCTAACCCAAGAAATTCATGGGGATTACGAATTGGATACTGAAAATTAATGGGTTTTATTCAAGACAACTAATTTTTTTTACCGTGGGCCTCACATTGGGCGGCGGAATCTCACATTGGGCTCTATGCCCAATTTGAAAATTAGATTCCAATTTCTAATCCTGTGATCTCAAAATCCCTCCAAGATGCGATTTTCTATAAAATTTATTTATCTGTTGATAAATTTTGGACCCAATATCTTGGATTGGGCCCAATATTTTGGGCACTTATACCACATGTTTGAACGCAGAATTTCATGGGGATTACGAATTTGATACTGAAAATTAGTGGTCTCATTTAAGAAAACCACTTTTTTCATTGTAGGGCCCAACATTGGGCTCCGGGCCCAATTTTTTGGTTTCAAAGATGTACATCTTTTTGTTTGGAACAACTTTTGTCTTGAACATTTTTTACAAAAATTCGTACTTTTCGAGATATTTGAAAGTTTCCATACTTTTGGAATACCCTGTATACTGCATCAGCACACTGTGCGCGCTGCGTCATGTAGCGCGACGATGGTTTTCGTTAAATTATTCAAAAACTACATTTTTTAAAAATCTGAAAAAAATATATGTTAAAGGGGATATTATAAGGTAACTTTTAAAAAAAAAAATTAAAGTGGTCACTTCAAAAAATCACCCCAAAAAAAATTTTTGAAAATTTCAAAATTAATTTTTTTTGACTTTTTTTCAAAAAAAAATTTTGAAATTTTTTTTTTAGAATTGTCTTAGCGACATGTATAACATATTCAAAGCTCATTAAAATCGGTTCAGTAGTTTTCGAGAAAAATGGATTTCTTTATTTTCCTTTCCCCCACCATAACTCCCCCAAAAATTCGAATTATGGGTTCATACTTGCAGAATTTTATATTCATAGGGGTAGCAATATATGGTGTCAATTTGAACAGAATACCTGCAACGGCAATTTTTGTATCCTTAACCCCCTATACCCTTTACACATAAATATAAATTAAAATTTCAATATTTTTGAATGACTTTTAGTTTAATTTTTAATTAAAATTATTAAGAGATTATAGGAAAATTTCAATAACTTTAGGAATTTACACTTAGGAATTTGCATTTCAGAAAATTTGTTTTTTAGTAAAATTCTAAAATTGGGAAAATCGGTAACGGTAAAGTCAAGTAACCGATTATTTCGAATCAAATAATTTTTTTACAGTGTGTATTATTTTTGTGTTATTAATAAAAGTTTTAACTCCTCAATTTATCAATTATTTTGCGAGAAAACATGTGAAGAATATTTACATGATGTGAAATCAAATGCTGTTAAAGGGGAAATATGGGATTGAGGATCATAATTATTATAATAATGATTTCAAGGTGTTAAAAAGTAATATAATAAATTTAATGCGATGCATTATAACATGAAGCCTTATATAATCAGATTTGTTACGACTTTCAAATATATATATAAATATATCTTTATATATTATCAAGGTCAAGGCAATTCCTTGGGAAGAGTTGCTAGTACGATATGAATAATAAATGGAGTAGTCATCATTGGTATCCCATAGACATAAAATATCGTGTGGATTACGATCTGCCATTCAGTGAATATCAATTCGTTCAATACCCT